ATAACATAAATAATTGTTTTGTCACCTGTTTCTTCTCTGTTGCACTGATACTTCTGTGTTTGTACTCAGAGCAGCCAACACTTTACAGGAGGCTCATATTGGTTTATGAACAGGGGGTCCTACAGGCAAGCACCAAGTGGGGTAGAGTTGGAAGGATGTTGATTTATTTTACTGTTAGTAATGCTAAAGTGAGTACTTTCTTAAAGGTACAAAAATGTGTTTTGTTATGGTGCAACTGTAAATATATTTCCTTAGATAACAAAAGAAATTAGATATTTATGTTTCCACTCCCAGCTTTTTTTTCTTTTGCACCGTATGGTTTCCCCTCTTTACATTGACATCTCTTTATTGTGGACTTTAACAATGGCTGTAGAATGTTCTTGACCTGGCAGGATGTTGTGACGTTTTAGTTTTTTTTTCCTTCACCAGAGAAATAATTCTGCAATCATCTACCTTTAGTTGTTTTTCACATGCATTACACCAGAACTGTTCATTCCATCCATCATATCTCCTATCTGCCTTGGCTTTCTTTCAGCTTAATGATCTCGTACATTTTCATAAACCCCACTTTGGATCACCTTTTATCTGCTTAATCTTTTCTGAAATAATGAGGGAACAGGCCAAACCTGGCCAGGAAATTGATTGTCAATCAATTGTCTAATTAATATTGAGCCTCTGACAATGGAGGTACTATGTATAAAAATGGTTGTAGTTCCAAAACCTTAAATTACACATTACTTTGATTATACACCTTGAATTATAGTTGAAAGTCTACACTACAATATTGATAGTTTTGTTCAATTCCATCTGGGGGTTTATTAAACATGTTTTATGAACATTTAATATTTAATTACAAAACTAATATGTATGAGAATTTTATACTTTAATACTTTATATTTATTAATAAATATAATACTTATGGACACAACTGAAGGTGTACGTGTGTTAATAAATGACTGAGTTGATGACTTTGAGAAAGTATGGTTTTGGTGGCCATCAGTGCTAAAGGGTTTTAAAGTACCTTAATACCTCATGAAAAAATACATAACAGTTTAATTAAAGCTGCATAGCTTATCTAGTACCTGCACAAGTTGGAAACAGAAGAAGAAGCAGCATCGAGTGCACTCTGTGCTCGATTCCACATTCATGTTTCTTCTTCCATCATTTTTGCTATCATGTTGTTGTTACTGTTTCTCTGCCAGTATGTCGTCATGTATATATTCTGCTTGAACGTCAGTGAGCGAGAGACGTTAATATAAAAGAACTGTGGTCGTCTGTGCTTTCTTTCTTTCTCTCTCACACACTGCACATGCATGATGTGTAAAGACAAACAGACAGACTGACAAAGGAGGCCTCCAGGAATAAATTCCGACTGTCACCCTGGGTTCAAATAGAGCACACTAGTGTTACATTAATAGATGCACAGTATAGTACAGTGACATGTTTAGTAATACGCTTTTTTGCGGTATATGTTTTATTATTTTTTAAATGCATCCGATATGCGTATGTGGGCATGCATGAGGACTTTGCAAATGTATGTTTTGACCTGCAGTATATCACACTTCAATAATTTCAGGCTCATACCTTCTTGTGACATAAACAAAGCATCAATTAGTTTATATCCTCAAAGGAATAATATTCTGACAGCTTCTTTTTTCTTTATTTCTTGAGAAACCATCTCTAGGAATAAGATATAAGCACCGTGTATCTGAGCTGTACTTCTTAAAATATTCTCCTCTCTCCCATATTTTGCAGATGTGATTCCAAAAACTGTTTGCAGTGTAATTATATGAAGTGTTGTTGTTTGTTTGCTAAGTTAATGTGCATGCAACATTTCCTTACTTAATTATATTTGGGGGAAATGTAAAAAAAAAAAAAAACACTGAAAAATGATGATCGAAGTATTTGGAACTTGAAATTATTTCTGTAAACCTTTTTGTTTTTGAGGGCATGTTGCTGTAAGATGTGTTTTAGGGTTAAAGTTACCTTTTAAACAACAATATAACTTTTAAAAAAACATGCACAGCACAAATACTTCTTTAAGTTTAGATTGAGCCTCTTTGAAATTGAATTTTTTTTTGTTGTGTTCACCTTCCATTGTTCCTTTTAAACAAATCCAGGTTTGTTTCATTTGATTTTAATTTTATTAATTAGTCCTTTGGATTCCATAAATGTTTTTATTTATGATTTGTTGAAAAAGCTGAGACATTTAAGCAGCCAGACATTTAGGTGTGCTGCATAGACTAAGACCAGGGCAGCAGTGTGGTAAAAAAGAGTGCACTCAGGTATAAGCTGACTAATCAAGCGTTGAGAGAGGGATGAGAATTGAGGCGAAGGCCATTTCTCACTTCTAAGAGGACCATGGATCATTTCGTACAATCCCTCTGTGGGTACAGAAAGGCATCAGTCAGCAGAGAAATTGTGACTGAATTGCTGTGGCCTACCACCTGACCAACACCTTTTACTGCCAGAGACTTCATTAACAGATATGGATCTCCAGGCTCAAGGACTTGTTCCCAACAAACCCTTAACCTCATAGAACGGCAGACGTAGAGCTTTATCCCAGCCCCTTTCCCGTTGTCTCTCTGCAGATCCTATCGCGCTGGCGTGAGACGAGCCATACCGCGGCAGCTTAGCCATTCTTTTCACCTCTTCCATCCCCTGCCATCATGGATAGCATGAGCCTCTGACGCACTGCTTACTTTAAAAAGATGCATCGCGTCATTGGCTGCAGCTTTATCTTCAACACATTGGCTGTAAATCAATGGGATGGGGGGGGAAACAGGTGGGCATTTGTGAGCATGCTTCAGAAGACTCTGCAAATATGTGACAGTTGCTGTGCCAAAGAGATAACAGGAGAAATATAACGACAGAGAGGGAGACAGAGAGTAAGAGTCTGCCTTAAAACACAACATATCTATGCTATATTGAGGGGGTTTCAGTGATTTTAAGTCAATTAGCGAGTGAAAAAAGGCAGGGGGGCGAAGAAACGGAGATGGTGGCAGTTATGACAAGACAGCTTCACAGCTCATTTGCAACAAGGCAACATTCAGCCAAAATTCAAAGCATAAGTCTGACTCAGCTGCTGGAGATAAGACGGCAGCCACCCCAGAGAAAATATTCATATTAACTCCACTGATGTTGTCAGGGCAGGACTATTGTCTGGGCCTTTGTTTTCAGCAGTTAACACAATGGCCATTCCACCTCAGCCCATAGCCACTTCACCCTTGACATTGGCGCAGAAAACTTGAACTGCCTGAATGGCTGATAGCATTATGTTAATCCCCAGACCTGCTTCCTCTTTTGCTGTTAACGCTGAAGAGGAGGAGGAGGAGAGGGAGGAGAGGGAGGAGGAAGAAGAAAGAGAGAAGGAAGTAGTCGTTAGTGTTCCTTTATGTGGCCGGTTGTCAGGCACAGTGAAGGCTTTTAAAAACAGCCAACATCCTCTTATGAAGCCAGAGCAAGGCCAGAGCCATGCTGTGCTGGTGAAAATAATAAGAGTCTGGGCTTTATCAACCCACACATACTGTAACAACCAAGAACATTTGGTTTGTCAAAGCAAGAAGCGGGCATCCCATTCTGGCTGTGACTGAATATCAAGCAGTTTACCACGCTCATGTTTTCTTGAAGGAAATTAAGAAATACTTGACATAGTCATAGGACTTCCACCTGCTGGTTGGAGCCCACCTGTACTCACAGGTGTGCCAGCGGAAAACACTTACACCTCCGAATCCATCCATCGAGATGTGGGGAAACCTCCAAAATAAGAATAAGATATCAGAGATGTCGCTCTTATTCCTGTAGTGTTCATTTGTTGATACTATATGTACAGTGTATTTAAACAAGAAATATAAAACAAGCTCCTGAGAAAACTGACTCCTACTCAACCTGTATTCCAGACTGTTACATAATTGCTGTCCCTGTTTTGTTTTTTACTGCACCAGAGGTTCACCTACTGTAATGCAGTCATTTTCCTGTGAATGTCAGAGAAAATATGCATATACATGTAGTAACACAATACAAATAATTGTCACTTAGCACATCATTAGCACATCTCGTGATGGTATACAGGAAGTCCAGTCAGGAGGTTTTTAAATGAAGCCTTGGTGTTCCTGTCAATTTGCCATCCTCTGTAATTATCATAGGGGTCATTCTGTATTTTTCTCCATACCACTAAAATAGCCCCAGCAGGTGCACTGTTGCATTGCAACATGAACTCAATAAATGACCAGTATTTCGTCAGGTTCAATGACATTTGTAAAAAGCAGTGCAGTATAAGGAGCACTGGTGAGTGCTTGTATGAAGGGCAACAGTTTAATGTGTTTCATTTACCACAGAGACTAGGCACACCTCTTTACGGCAGCTGGCCTTTTAACTTCATGACGTCAAGACTATTCAGACACACTCAACATCTGCAAATAAATAAAAGATCAATTGTTTAGTGATATATATTAATTCTGGGAAAATGCTTCGCTGACTAAGATTTATGTTGCACCTAAAGAGCCGCCATCAGAAGTGCGTGTCTTCTTCTTAAAAACACAATTTACAGGGTTTTTTCTTTCACTCGAAAAATGTCAGATTTAGAATGGAAATAGAATCTGCAGTTGAGCATATAAGGAAAAGAAACCCACAAACTGTAGAACTGTGGGATACATGTATTTTTCCCTTCACAGTCACTGAGAAATCAATGTTAAGAACTAAGCTGAGGCATCAAAGACCAACAGCCTATCTGACCTGCATAGAGCCCCACTGTGGGGTATAATGCAGCATTGTACACCAGTTACTTAAAGAACCATTCATGCAGACACTAAGTAAATGCATAGGACCGTAAGATGGGGGTTTCGGGGTAGGATACGATTTACAATACTGCCTCCAGCCTTTACGATTAAACAACTTACACATATATGGAAATATATTCAGAGAAGAAAAAACATCAGATGGAAATTTTTCTGATTAGAGAAATACAAACCAAAGGTTTTTATTTTTCATAGCCTCCTTTGTCTCTCCATAAAAATAGTGTTGCTCAAAATAAACTGTTAAAAGAAAAAGAAAGAAAGTCATGTTTCAATGTAGTCCATGGAAAAGCCCCAGTATCAGACATTCATTTTGTTCCACTTCAATCCTGTTTTTTTTTTCCTCGAAAAAGAGAACGGTCGGCAAAGCCCTGTATCACTGCACCACGTCTGCTCCTTTGAAAATTTAGCCTCAGACGGAGCCCTTGCGGAGACAAGTCAGGCAACTGCTGTAATGCATTACTAAATTAGCCCTAAACACTACACAAGCCATTAAGAAGCATGTCAAAACCTAAAGGAAAAGAAATAATACAAAATGCAACCGAGAGCAGATAATATAGTATTTGCAAGAGCTGTCATTAGCCTGCACTTCATCTTTACCAGTTGAACCGGTGAGAAATCATGTGCACACTAAATAAACATGTTTATTTAGCTACAACTAAAAAGCACCGGCACTGTCAAATAAATGCAGCTTAGCTCCAGTGAACAGAGGGTTAAATCTTAGCTGCAGAAAATCACTGCAGTCCAAAAGCATTTGGCTGATAGCTACTGAACAGCACATTCTATCTGTGCCATTATGCTGCTATCCTTGGACAAGTTTCTTTTTATCTAGATTTTACTTGTGTGTCTTTTTGTGTCTTTAGTCTGGAAATACCATTTTATTGCATATAATATTTGGCACAGTAAAAACTGGAACTTACATTTGGGCATGTATTTAGAAACTGTTGCCTGTATAAAGAGTTTTTAATGCATCCTTAATATGATCAAAAAACAAACTAAATGCCCTCTCTCATCTTACAGTAGACAGTACCACCTTCTATCATCAATCACAAAAGCAATTCAAAGTCTTTATTAAATAGAAGTCACCAGTTATTAGAAAATAGTTTCAAATTACTTTCTTTTCTAATATAATCTGCATGTCTCACCACCTCCTGACATTAGTTTCATTTATATATATATTTGTATTTTTTCATATTTATATACGTACGTATAGGCATGTACAAGAAACAAAAAACTGTCTCTGTTTTGCACTTCTGTACAAAAGAAAGTTACCGTTTTGTTCTTTGTGCATTCTATTGCATGGAGTGATGAGCAGACAGGTGGAGAGGAAAGGTTTGGCCAGAGTCAGAGATAGATCCACAGAGAGCATAACTCAGATTTGGGTTTCTTGAACCTTCTCCTTGCCGTGTGAAGTCTTAATGACGTAAGGGTCAGCAATGGTGCTGATGTGGCTGTGATGCTGTCTGACTGAGCGATGAAGAGAGTTGTTCTGGGTCCAGTGGGCCCCATAGCCCCCTTGGCGGGATGAGGAGGTGGACACGTACCCAGGCTTAAAGGTGTTGCTGTTGTGTTCCACTAAAGTAGGCAGTACCAACCCTGTGTCATCTGAGCCACTAGATCCAGAGGTGGGTGGTGGAACAGGATGAACCTCTTCCTCCATCTGTATGATTTCTATGGTCCTGGCTGCTGCCACCGTGCTCCTCTGTTGATGCCGCTTACGCAACTTATAGAATGCTATCAACATGGCCGCTGCCAGTAAGGTTACAGCAACAAAACAGCCAATGATGATCTTGGTTGTTTTCATCACCTCATCGAGGCTGGCGGCTGGCCCACTAGGAACTCTGGCAGTGGGAATTGAAACCTGCCTTGGAGTCTGAGTACTTTGGAACAACACAGTTGGTGTGGAAATGAAGACAGGCTGAAAGACGGAGGGCGAGGCGGGGACTGTAGGCTTGGGTTTTGGGGTCTCCTCCACTGTGGGCTCCAAAAATTCCACTGTTACTGTGGTAAAGTAGGACAGGTTAGATGTGTTGAGTTCGGCATTGCTGACATTTAGGTAGGCTGAGGCATTTGAATTTCCAGCCATGTTGCTCACCATGCAGGTGTAGACCCCTGTGTCAGATGGGAGGACATTGGAGAAATTGAGTGTCCCATCGTTAAGGACGGATATCCGCGGGTGAGCTGAACCATGGGTCAAGACAGTCCCATTGGGGAGAAGCCATCGGACGGAGCTCATGGCAGCTGTGCGACACTTCAGTTCCGCTACCCTGGCTGCTGAGATGTTCAGATCTCTAGGAGCATCCACTATGAATGGTGCGGAACACTGAAAGGTGGTCTGATCAACTTCCACCAGGTATCGTCCTCTCATGTGGGCCGGGGTGTGGCAGCGTCCGCAGCAGGTGGAATTTGTAGGAATGTATTCTCTGAGCCACCAGGAGAGCCACACTACATCACAGTCACATCGCCAAGGGTTGTGGTGCAGGTGTAGCTCCACCAAGTACTGCAGAGGGGTGAAGAGGTTGTGGGGGAGGGAGGACAAGTTGTTATGGGCTAAGTTGAGCTCCACCAAGGCTGTGATGTCATCAAATGCATTCCTCTCAATGTTAGTGATGGCAGAGTTCATAATCCACAGTTTACGTAAATTCTTGAGACCACGGAAAGCCCCAGGCTTCAGTTCAGGGAAAACATTCTCTGATATTTCTAGCTCCTCCAATCCCAGCAGAGGTGAAAGATGAGGAAACTCCCTCAGGTTGCACATCCCCAAGTTGAGGTACTTGAGGTTTTGAAGACCCTCGAATGCCCCATCAGAAATGTACTCCAATTTTCTCAGCTCTCCCAGGTCCAGTCTCATGAGTGAAGGGACACGGTTGAAGGCATAAGAGGGGATGCTCTCAATGGGGTTGTTTCTAAGCCACAACTCTCTTAACTTTGACAGGTACTCAAACGCTCCACTTGGTATGACCGTCAGTCTGTTGTCAAACAGCTCCAAGGTATTGAGGCTGGTCAGGCCATTGAAGGCCCCCACTTCAATCTGTCTGATAGCATTTCTGCCCAACTGCAGTACCTCCAGGTGATGCAGGTGTCTGAAAGTATCTGCTTGTATGGTCTCTATGCTGTTTTCCATCAAGTTCAAGTACCTGGTGTTGGTTGGGATGTTTGGAGGAACCCTAACCAGGCCTCTGCGAGTACACACCACCTTGCTGAGCTGGTTAGTGCAGGAGCACATACCTGGACAGTTCTGTGGGTTAGCCGAGCCCAACACGGGGCCTGTGGACTGGCACATACTGAGAGCAGGCACCATGAGGGAGAGCACGGCGAGCAGGGCTGCGTTCCAGGTAGGCTGCAAACTAACCTGGCCCAGAGGACTCATGGTGTGGAGGGCTCATTATTTTGCATGGTGGGGGGAGACGGCACACACCAGAGGACAGACCACACTAGCCTGGCTGGAGCAACTCAAGGCTCCCAAGTTCCATTGACAGTGCAGGGAAATGCTTTATCAAAAAAGATGTGTGCGAGAGGAGGAAAAAAGAGACAGGGAGAGAAGGGGAGAGAAGGAGAGAGGGAGATATTAATACTTGAGAAGTAGCGAAGGAAAAGCATTGCAGCAATATAAGAAAAAGGATTGAAGAAGTCAATCAGTGACATACCTCATTAGTTTGAAAGTGGTCCTTTTTGCCTCTTCCCAAATGTTAAATGCAGCAGTCATGCATCACATTCCTTTATAATTCCTTTTCCAGGGAGAGACATAGGAAAGATGTTTTCTTGCTTTTCCTTTTTGAAAAAGTGAGGTGGCCCTCTATTAGCCAAGGGTACAAAATGGCTCCTGGTATTAAAGACTGAGAGCAGCATGGAAAACACTCACAGCCAGAGGTAAGGCCAGGAAGGCTTGGCAGGTGCCTGGATCCCCTCTGCCCCCTCTAACTGCCTTCCTGCCATGCTGCAGACTCCAGAATGCAGCTCCACTGTGGATAAATCACAAGGATCCATAAGGCAGTACAGCATGACAGAGGAGGGAAGAAGTGACCAACTGGAAAAAATATGAAAAAATCCCGAGTTCTGATGACTCCTGATACATGTGTTGGCTCGTCGACTGGTTGCCTGTTTGGTGGAGAGACCTCCCTCACTGTGACTTTGCCAAGGGCTAGTCGGTCGCTGATTAGCCCCGTTGTGACAGGGACTGAGAGACAGAAAAAGGCTAAAGAACTCGCGGCACAGTCATCCCCCTCTCCTCTCCTCCTCTGTGTTCCTCTCGCTTCCTCCCGACGTTGGGCTGGCCCTGGTCAGAGCAGCTGCGGGCTGCCGTGTGCACAGTTAGCAGTAATCCGTCTATTCCTCCCGGGGGGCGGGGGGGCTGGGGGTGGTGGGAGAGATGGTGGCGCTGGGTGGGGGGTGGAGAAGAGGATGCGCTGCACTGTTGGAGCTTTGCAAAAAGGCTATCGGAAGAGAGAGAGAGAGCACTCTTGTCCTCTTCTGCAATGAGAGAAAAGAGAAAGGATGACGTTGAGAGGATATGTGTGAAAGTGGACTCCGTATCTGTATCCATAAACAGAGAAAGGTAATGAGGATTCTTCTCTCCGCTCGCTGCTTGTCCCCAGCGCTGTCTCCTGCAGTGCTCCTCCTGCTTGCTTATTTGTTAGTTTTTCTCCACTGAGGTAGTAAGTTGTGGCAGTTAGCCATGTGTGTGGCTGTCAGACTTGCGGCTGGCTGTTGGACTACTGCAGTAGCCAGAGTAGAACAGAGAGAGAGAGAGAGAGAGAGAGAGAGAGAGAGAGAGAGAGAGTGTGTGAGGGAGAGAGAGAGTGTGAGGGAGAAAGAGAGAGAGAGGAAAGAGTGTGAGGGAGAGAGAAAGAGAGAAGGGGAGAGAAAGACGTTGATAGATTGAGAGGAGAGAGAGAGAAAGTACCACTGACAGATCAAGAGCAAGAGAAAGATAGAGTGCGCGAAGGAGAATGTGTGAGAGAGCGATGGTGAGGACGAGGCACGCGAGTACTCAAACAGGCAGCCCACCATCACAGAAGCAGCAGGAGAACCATTCTGATCCACATCTCCTCTTCTCGTTTATTCTCCAATCTCACTCTTTTCTCTGCCCCCCCCCCCCTCCGATGTGTGTCGGTGTTGCAGGCAGCTAAGATGCTCGCTCTGCCCCCTCCCTTTGTCCTTCAGTGGGAACGTGAATGTACTGCTGACGCCATCCTCTCAGATGCTCAGCCAGCCTCAGAGCAGTGCATTGGTTTGATGCAGTGTTCCTGTGTATTAACACATTCAACCTCCCCTCCTCCCCTGTCCCTCCTTCTCCCTCCTTTCACTGCAACTATCTTCTCCTCGCTCTTGCCATCTCCATTTCTCACGTGTTCTGTCCATCGCCTTCTTTCTTGACGCTAACTCTCTCTTTAGCCTCACCTGTGCCGATCTTCCCCTCCCTCGTGCCGTCTGCCTCAACACCACCTCACTCCATCCAAATGTTAAAATTAAAAGCCTCCCATTTCAAAGAAGTGTACGCCGACAAGAGGTCAGACTTTCCACTCCAACTCCAGAGTGGTTTTTGCATTCTCTGTCTCTCTGTCTCACAAGCGCAAAAAGTGTGCCTGTGCTTTCCAGTGAAGATGCTTGCTGCCATTTATCACCTCTTGTAAGGCAGTTTGGTGAGTGTATCCATCATGCATCATCACCGAAGGGGACAAATAAACAAAGTTTTTTTGTTTTTCTCACTTTCGTCAGTTGTGGAGGATTTATTGTGTGTGTGTGTGTCTGTTGGAGAATGGGTCAGGGGTCTGTGACATCACAGGGGTGTGAAATGCTGACTCTGCTTCTCTGTGTCTGCTGGGCAGTCTTCTCTACAGGGAGGAGAACGATGAAAGAGCCTGCACAGTTATCTCTAAGAAAGATGAGAGAGAGAGGGGAAAGAGACTTACCAAGAGAGTGGGGGAGAGAGATGGGGTCGGGTGGGAGGAGATATATCCACATCCTTGGTGAAATAAGGAGAAAGAGCTTATGGAAGGATGTGAGAAATTAGATAAATAGGGACAGAGAGGAAGAATGAGGGAGACAGATGAGCGAACGCAATGCACAGTTGCCTTCTAAGTGAAATGGTACAGAAAGGCTGAGGAAAAGAAGGATGAGGATTATGGGTGAGGAGTAGGAGCGATGAGAGGAGCGTTGATAGTGCTGGATTAAGCATCATTTAAATGCAGGACAAGAAGTCTCCCTCTCTTCCTTTGGTTAATGACAACATTCTCTCTCTCTTTCTGCACCCTCCTGTCACATATATATGTGCTCTCTCTATATATATTCTTTACTAAGAAAAGGGAAAAAGACTCACACACAAGACATGCAGACAATAATGAATGTGCCTCTGTCAATTCCAATTTTAATTCCAATTCATGAAATAAATAGGACATGACTGGAATTTTATATCCCACTATGTAAAGTTGTTATTGAAAAATTCATGCTCCATTTCCACATCGGATCATTAAGAGGATGAAGTGATACAGAAGCTAATTTAAATGGATGCATGCTACAGAAGAAGAGAGGACGCGTTTACGTTAGCGCATGTGATCCCTTGTTTGTCTCAGCATATAAAAATATGAATAAAATATCACATTAAATAAATGATTAAGCTCAGTATTATCTCTTATATACATTTAAATAATGTAGTAAAGCATGTTATCCTTTACGATGCATTTTACTTGAAACAGGTACATTTTAATTAATCTGCAATCATGTCACTAACAATTAGTGCTTCCTCGTCAGAAAACTGCAGCTTTGACATGTGCTGAGGCATGATAAAGAGGAAATATAATATTCCCTTATGTGCTTTAAATCTTTTGTTTCATACCAGCATGGCTTTGCCCTCAAAATTGTAGTAAAATTTAAAAATAGAGATTTTTTTATTGTTTATTTGATATTCCATGTGCAACAACAAGAAAATGAATAAGGTTTACCGTTGAAGGGTCAAGTCTGATGCTATAATAAGATTGGAATGATTTGGAATAAATAAAACTAATCTTTGTGCGAAAGAGAAATACTGGGTGTGAGGGGTTATGTAAATGAAGAATGCATTATGTCCTTTATTGCTCTATTTTGGAGAAAAACCTCCAAACCTCATTTGGCAGCAAAGGAAATAAATGAAATCTCAGTTTTTTTTTTATGCATCAAAGAATGAGTTTTTGAGGACCAAAATAACATAAAAACATGGACACACAAAAAAGCGTAATTATATCTGTGTTTTGAAGAGGTAACATGCTAGGAACATTGTAAAAATCATGCAGCTCATGTACTAATTCTATAACCATTACATATTGTGCTTTGAAGTGAGGAGTGGAGGAGAGAAAGAGCATGACAGGGTGGATGAGAGGACAGTTAAGGCTAGATAACTATTAGTTAAGGTGGTGCAGGCAGAGCTGGTGAGATAATTGATGGCCATAGTTGTAGCTGCTATGTTAATGCCATTACAGGGGGCATGAGCATGGAAAAGGTCAGTTAGCACACTGAATATATGAGGTATCCTCCTACTGTCTTCACGGCTGCCTCTCCTCACCTCTGTCTTTCTTTCTGTCCTTTTGTTCACATGGATCCATATTATCAGAGTAAGGAAGCCGCAGTCTCTGAACAGGCCAGCTCTCCCTTTAAATATTTGAAACCAGGTCGAGGACAAGGATTTATTGTCATCTGAATATAAATATATGGTGTGTGATAAATCACAGGGAGTTTTATGAAATTACTCTGCATGATATACAGCAGCATCCTGTGTTGCAGTGAGTCACTTCCACAACATTAATACATTTCAAAAATCTGCCTTGTCTTTTAAAACGTCACATATAATAAACTGGTGGGGTTATCTGTTTAGCTAATTTCTGTGTTGGGTTCCTTCAAATTAAATCATAAATGACAACCGCGGCCACTGATCACAGACGTGGCACACCACAGAATTTATCACCTCCGTCAAGGAGGTTATGTTTTCACGCGTTTGTTTGTTTGTTCATTTTTCAGCGGGATTACACTGAAGCAGACTCGGTGGCAGGATGTGGCATGTGCCGGGGATGAACCCATAAATTTAAATGCAGATCCGAATAAAGGGGCGGATCCAGGAATTTTTTTAATCACTTTCCTCTACATAGCAAGAAAGGGCATCTTTCATTTTCCTTAGTATATGGATCTTGATAAAAAAGAAAAGCATGTATAGCAAGGATTGTTTGGCCTTGGTGGAGGTATACACTCGACTGAGTGCCACTCTATTTTTCACTTTCATTCACTGCCATTCAAAAAAGTAAGACGTCATTATTATGTTAATGGGCACCCTCTCCTGCTCGATAAGCATATGCAGCAGTCAAACTGCGTTTGTGCTGTTTAACAATTTTATAACTATTCAAAGAGGTTTGAACATTATCTGTACTTTTAATGCAATAAATGCCGAAGATTAACTAACCTCCCAAGTACCATGAACCAAAAGTATGCAAAGGCAAAGAACCTGGAAAAAAAAATACCTGAACATACAAATATTGACAAGAGCTTAACAAATATGGACATGGTTCAAGAAGGGATGCAACAACTGACAAGCTATTTGTCAGATACTCAATACATGGCTGTACAAATCTGGACCTACACATTGATGTGTTAAGACCAGACCAGATGACATGACAGCTCCCCACAAGAGAGCTTTCTGCAGTATCGGTCCTCTTCCACGTTAGTGGATGGGATATATACCAGCAGTCCAAATACATATTAAGATGTTTTGATGATTGTTTTCACTCGAGAAATGTTGTGTATGGTGAAATGTCATGATTGACAACTGAGACTGATTCATGATTGGTGTGTTTATTGGCAGGAAGGTGATGCCGCAGCTCTATCAGTACTGTGCAAACTCTGGCTTCGATAACGCAAGTTGGTAGTACTGTATCTGGGATATTTGGGCTTCAATTTTTTTTACAATGAGAAGAAAAGGAGACACGTCCATCTTTACAAACACTTTATGGTTATTTCAAAGGCTCTGCACTGCACTATGGTATCATTTCAAAGACAGATGAGGCTCAGAACCACTGAGTGGTCGAGTGTGTGGATAAAATCTTTGGAAGGTGTGAGTCAATACCATAACAGGATGGTGGGGAGCTGGTGCTAAACATCTGCAGACTGAAAGCAGTGTGGCGCACAAAGTGTAGGTCAGGTCAATGCTGAGCGAGTGACATCCTGCCCTATAATGCCATGTCAGGGTTAGAGGGGAAATTGAATGTAGCAGGAAGTGGAGTATATATGCT